GAAGAGGAAGAGGAAGAGGAAGAGGAAGAGGAAGAGGAAGAGGAAGACCACTTATTATTAAAAATAAAAAATAAAATTCTAAAAAAATTTTAAAATGTTACATATACGCTTATTATATAAACGTTAATCTGAAGTCAGTTATAGTGAAAAATTCATTGTATCATTACCGGCGTGATTGGTGATCGTTTCCTTAATTTTTTGCGAAAAAGGTTATGCTAATATGAGATATTACCTATATCATTCATATATTTACGTATTACCTGTGTACTCACAAATATATGTAAGTTTTTTTACTTCGCCTGGAAAAGTTTATATAAATTTAAGAAGAGTAAATAGAACTTATTTTATATCAGACTTCACGCAAAAAAGTCATTTGCACCTGAACACATAGCTGGGTTAAAGCGAAGGGGAATAGAACAGTTCTCTTCTCCTTCTCCGCTTTTTCGTACACGACGAAGTGTATGTATCATACGATTGATGTTGTTGTTTATGTGTAAAGGGGAGCGCATCTATGCAAATGCAGAACGGAACAACGACGCGCTCAAACTTTCTTTCTGATCTGATTTTCAAGCAAACAACAAGTGAGTATTTTTTCTCCAGAGAAAACCACGTTTTTAAAATTGTTTTCTGATAAAAACAACCATTTGAGTAAATATTTAGAATATTTTGCATCTATTTGATAGGAAACGAAGATTTACTGAAATTTCACGCAATATTGTTTCAAAATATTATTTGCCACGATAAAGCTGGAAAAGAAAGAAATTTTATTATGTTAGTGCAAAGTGAACAGTGGTAAATTTACGTGAGTATATACACAAGTTTTTTCTTAATTGCCAAAAAGATAACGAAATATGAAAATATTTCAAACAAAGAAATAAAATCAATGTTGATCAACATTTATTCAATAGTGACGTCATATTGTGGTTACAAAAGAAGAAAATTAAAGTGATTTTTTGAGCGTCATCGCGTCGACTACTAACTGTACAACGGACAAATTGTATTTATCACATGCTCTTCAAAGTAATGCGTTCCGAGATAAAAACAGTATAGCGGTAAATTTGCGTGAGTATATACACAAGATTTTCTGGATGGAAAAAAGGACAACAAAATATGAAAGTTATTTTAAACAAAGAAATAAAATCAATTTTCTTCAAAATTTGTTCAATAGTGACGTCATTTAGCCGCGATCAATTAAGAAGAAAGTGCGCATAGAACCGAGTACAGTGGACAAATAGTGTTGGTATTTTCATAAAATTTTTTCCCGTTTGATGGTAACAAAATTAGAAAAAAAAGAAATTATTTGACATTTTTGCAATGATACCATTACAGTGACATCATAACGCAGTCAAATAGGAGAAATATTATAGTGATTTTGTTGAGCGTCATCACATCTTCTTCTAATTAACTTTACAACGGGCGAAGGTATAAACACTATTCTTCACACGTTCTTTTCAGTGAACAATTGTAGAAACAAAAATGACACGACGTAGACAAAATATTGGTCGTCGTTCTGTAGAAACACAAAACAGGATAAATTCAAGAGCAAATGAAACAAACGAACAACATGAAAATCGTCTTACAAATTGTCGAGAACGTCAAGCAAGGTCACGTTCAGCTCATTCATCTGCTGAACAAAGAGCCACGAATAGATTTCGAATGGAACAACATCGTCAAATTGCAAGACGTCAAAATCAAAGAATACGAAACCAAGAAGCAAGGCAAATCAATCTAAATAATATTAACTTACATCGTGTTGCGTTTCAATACAATCCTGTGCTTGAGTATAGTATGCTTAAATCGGTGAATATTGGCACAATGAATACGATCTGTCAATATTGTCATGCATTAAAATTCAAGTTTGAAACACCTGGCATGTGCTGTGCAGGCGGCAAAGTTAAATTACCGATTTTAAATCCACCACCAGAACCGCTGAATTCATTGCTCTCAGGTGAAACTCCAGAATCAAAGCATTTTTTGAAAAACATTCAAACATATAATTCATCATTTCAAATGACTTCTTTTGGAGCTGATAAAATTGTGACAGACAATTACATGCCAACATTTAAGGTGATTGACTCAAATGGTTTATCAAACAATAACATCCAAATTCATGATTTATTTGATTTCAACAAGATCCCATTTTTTGACACTTCTGTATACTCCTTTCAGATACAAGGTCAAATTTATCATAGAGTTGGTTCATTATTGCCACTCCCTGAACAAAATCACAAATTTTTGCAAATTTACTTTGTTGGAAATACCGAGACAGAGATTGATTTACGATGTGCAATTAGTCACAATATTCGGCGAGGAATAATTATACAATTGCAAGAATTCTTTCATGAACATAATGAATTGGTTCGTTTATTTCGTACATCTCTTGAACGAATGATGTCGGATAGTCACAAAATTGTAATACGACCGGACAAAACGCCAGTTGGCATGCATGCCAGAAGATATAATGCACCATCTGTTGATGAAGTTGCAATAGTAATTGTCGGTGACAATTTTGAAAAACGTGATATTGTGCTTCATCGTCGTAACAATCAACTTCAAAGAGTAGCTGAAACACACCCCATATTATTTTGGAGTGGCGAAGAAGGATACAATTTGAATATAAAAATGGTAAATCCAACAAATGGTGAGTATATTGAAGAAAAATAAATAAAAGTAAAAAATTCATAATTTGTAGTTACTTTTTAAATTTTTTTGTATGCAGGACAAGAAATAGATAGGAAAGTAAGCTCGATGCATTTCTATTCATATCGATGTATGATAACACAGAATAAGGTTTATCATCTTCTCAAATGTCGTAAACTTTTTCATCAATATATCGTCGATATGTATGCAAAAATTGAAACAGGACGTTTAAATTTTATTCGATTTAATCAGTCAAAATTGAGATCTGAAGAATACATACATCTACGTGATGCTGTAAATAATGATGCCAATGTAAATGTTATTTTCAGGCGATCTTCGTCTATATTGTGGATAACCATCATTGCCAGTGATAGTGTCCGATACTAATGCTTTTGGGAAACGTTTAGTACATTTTCCGTCAACCATACACGGTGAATTTTGATTTAATACGCCACATGGTCCATGAATCATGTTCTGTGTTACAATTTCAAATAATCCTGGATCAACTGTTTCATCCGGAATTGCTGCCACTTTGTTGGATGGCGGTCGAACGGCGCATTCTGCTTTAAAATTGCCGTTGAATATGCATACAGAAGAAACACCCACCTGTAACATATCGAAAAACTCTGGCATGGCTAAAGTTTTACAACAGTGTAAAATAATTGTCTGGGATGAGTGCACGATGGCACATAAAAAGTCACTGGAAGCGCTTGATAGGACATTACGAGATTTACGTAGTAAAAATGAAATGTTTGGTCGTGCCTTAGTGCTGCTGGCAGGTGATTTTAGACAAACACTGCCTGTTATTCCTCGAGCAACTGTAGCAGATGAATTGGCTGCATGTTTGAAATCATCATATTTGTGGAGACATGTTCAAACACTCAAACTAACTACAAATGTACGTGTTCTAATGCAAAATGATCCATCAGCTGCTGAATTTTCAAAGCAATTATTGGATATTGGAAATGGCAAAGTTCCTGTCGATAATTTAACTGGCTTAATAACTTTACAACCAAACTTTTGTCAAATAAGTCAAACGAAAGAACAGTTAATTCAAAGTATTTTCCCAAATTTGCCTCAAAATTACAAAAATCATGATTGGCTTAGTGAACGAGCCATCATGGCTGGCAAAAATAAAGATGTGAATGAAATGAATGCGGCTATTTTGGCTAACATACCAAGTCCAGAACAAACATATCGATCCGTTGACACTGTTACAAATCAAGATGATATTGTAAATTCTCCCACCGAATTTTTGAATTCCCTTGATTTACCTGGATTACCGCCACACATGCTAAACTTGAAAATAGGAGCACCGATTATTATGTTGAGAAACATAAATCAACCACGACTATGTAATGGCACTCGATTAACAGTTAAGAGATTGATGAATAACGTCATTGAAGCAACAATTTTGAATGGAAAATACTCTGGTGAAGACGTTTTAATACCGCGAATACCAATGATACCATCGGATATGCCGTTTGAATTCAAACGTCTTCAATTTCCTGTTCGCCTTGCATTCGCGATTACTATCAATAAGTCACAAGGCCAAACTTTATCAATTTGTGGTATTGATTTAGAATACCCATGTTTTTCTCATGGCCAACTTTATGTTTCATGCTCAAGAGTTGGAAAGCCATCGGTATTGTTCATTTATTCAACAACGCATGGAAAAACGAAGAATATTGTATACCAAAGAGCATTACAATAAAAAAAGTAATAAAGTAAATCACATCAAACGTTTTTTAATTGCTACTACTATTCAAAACTTCTTTCATTACTATTCATGCGCGAGAATTTTTATAAAAAACACACAGTATTTTTCGGCTTAATTTAATTAATTAATCTAGATTTTTTTAAAGACGACCAGCGGAACGGGCGGGTTTTCGCTAGTGGTTTATAAAAACTTCCAATTCGTTTTTCACAAAACTATACTTTTCATGTTACACTATTTCATTATTCCAGCGACAATTTGGTGTAATGTACATATTTACCTATATGCATGGGCGTAGCCAAATTTTCCTTATATATATATAAAATAGTACCCTGAAATGCCAGCTTAATAGCGTCGAGCCCCGCCCCCTAAATTTCATTCTGGCTACGCCGATGCCTATATGCATGTGAATATTTATATACATACATACACACACATATGTGGAAAGATTAATTTAATTAATGCTGAAATCGATTATGTAGTTTTTTGCAAAATTGAGAATAAGGGAAATTAAACAAAAATTTCAAGCACAAAAATACCTTTAGAGAAAAGTCTATTTAAAGTATTCATATAGCTATTTTAGGTTCAATGTACTTGACACAATAACCAAATAAATTACATCAACATTCCTGATCAAAAAGAAAAGCCGAAAAAGACTTAAATCCTTAAGTTGCTGTGCGTAACATAAACAAACAGAAAACAGATTCATATTGTTTTGGAAAAATAAAGATGAAATCATTTTACTTTAAGCCGCTTAAATGTCTTCTGGTGCTTAAATATACCGTGTTTTTTGGATACTTACATAAATAGTCTATTCATTTGGTTGGCATCACATTGGAATTTTCTTCAGTATGAGAATTTGAATGGAAAATAAAAAAATAAAAACGATCTTTAAAAATATAAGACGCATAAAGTTAAAACGATAAGATTTCGCGAGACAGAATAATATACATTTGCCGCCCAATTGTGTGTTTTATTGATAAAATATTTGTAAAGAAATTTTATCAAGATGTTTATCAAGTAAAAGCCTCATCGCATTCTGTGTCAACATTTATAAAATACAAAGCTCTATAATTTCCACATGAGGGGAACTGATTTCCTCACGAGTGGAACTGATTTCATTGTCGCATATGAAAAATATGAATTTAAAAGCAGAAAAGCGTTTGACTGCCGTAGCCGAGTAGACAGAGATGTCGACTATAATTCGTGTGTCGGATGTTCAAATTCCGGCACATGTAGTATTTAAATTATAAAAAAAAATTTTAATATGTAAAATTTGTAAATTTCACATAAAATTTTAATTTGTAAACGCTTGTCAATGACATTTTCAATCTTGATAATTTATCAAAACAAGTAATTTTTAAAACAAAAACAAAACCGCCTTATTCTAATAATTTCTTCATGATTCTTTCTTTAAAAAAAAATAATTATAGACATCGGTCGGTATGGACGTGGTCCAAAGTTATGCGATAACATACATAAAAAAAATATTCCGGCGAATTGATAACCTTCGTTTTGTGGATTCGGTTAAAAAGAGCTTTTAATTTCTGTGCTTTTTTTGTGATGTTGCTTTGACCGGGGCTTGAGCCCAGGCCCTGCGGAGTGGAAGCGCGCACTGCTTACCACTACACCACAGCGGCTTTATACTTATGGATTTTTAATCAATTTTTAAACCAAAAAGTCTATAAAAAACATCTTTAACATTTTCTGCATCAAAATCAATGTTGCCCTGTGTTGTCTGACTTTGACATTGATACGAATTTATACATACATACCTACATACATACTATCATGATACAATAAAGAAGGTAGTTTCAATAAACAACTTTTTGATTAAAAAGCCGATGCTCAAATGGGAAGCGGCGCATAGTTCGTAATTTGGGCGATTCAGGGGAAGGAAAATCGTAACGTCCATAACTTTGACTATAGAAAGTTTTGTGTTATGTACTTCTAATAGGCTGTTCAAGTATGGTTTCAAAGGATGTACGTGGCATCATGTGTATAATATTTTATATGGGCTATTCAAAGGAATAAGGTCTTTATAGTTAAAAATTAAAAGTGATATATCTATGCTAGTTATGGTCTCATCCGGTTAATTTTTATACCTTTCGTGAGCATGAAATGGTATTATAACTTTGGTCCGATCTCAGAAGAGATCGAGGAGAAGTGTAGTCAAATTAATAGTCACGATAGGAGGATGGTTCCATGCGTAGTGGAAAACTTTTGACTGCCATTCACCTGGCAGTGGCCAGAAGTGGTTCTTGTGCATACGGTTCAAATCGCAGCTCACAACGTCGGGATATATATGTCCATGTATCCTCTGGGTAGCAACCAAACACCCTTCAGAGCGACCTAAAGTGAGAAGGCGTACAACTTCGCGTGCCCTGCGTTCGCGCCCCGTTAGAAGCCCGCCCAATGAAAATGTTCAACAAGCCTCGGATAAGACCCCCTTTTTTTGATGACGACCACGGCAAACGTATAAAGAACTGTGATTTGAGAGTTTGCACATGAAATATACGGACCTTTTATGGGGAAGGTGCCTCTACCCGGCTAGTTGATGTCCTCGGGAACACAAAGGCTGACAGCACCGCCATCGAAGAAATGCGATGGACGGGGCAAGGAAAAGTAAGTGTGAAGGCTTAGAAGGCTTACTCTATGGTAATTGGCGCGATGGTGGTCGCCTTTCTTGTGGATTGGGCAGAGCACACTTAAATTCCAGTCGTCGGGCATGCGTTCAACTGACCATATTCTGCATAAAAGTTGATGCATTCACCTTATCAACTCCTCGCCGCCGTATTTGAAAAGCTCAGATGGCAGGCTGTCAGCTCCAGCAGCTTTGTTGTTTTTCAAGCGCATAATCGCTATTCGTACCTCGTCATAGTCAGGTGGTGGAATATCGCCGCTATCGTCAGCGACTGGGGGCTCGGATTCGGCTTCTCCACTAATTTCAGCGCTGCTACCGTTCAGTAGCGTGGAAAAGTGTTCCCTCCATAATTTAAGTACATTTTGAACATCTGGTAAAATTTTCCGGCGTTTCAAGCTCTTCGCACTCACCTATTTCAACCTCTCTCTTCTTATTGTGGCAAATACGTCTCACGCCCGATCGCGTCTTTGTCTCTGCGGCTACTTGACATTCCTCATCGTACCAGTTGTTCTCTCGGGCTCGCTGAAATCCAACTACTTCTTCGGCCCCGGTACTTAATGGACGGAAAATGTGGTTGCACTGCTCGTTTATGTCGGATTGTTGAAGAGTACTCTTAGAGAGCAGGTGTGTCAGTCGAGTGGCGAATAAATTGGCCGTCTGTTGTGATTGCAGCTTTTTGACGATCAGCTTTCCTTGCATTGTTCGGCGCACATTTTTTGCTGCACAGGAGCGGGTGCGTATCTTGGCTACAACAAGATTGTGGTCCGAGTCGATGTTTGGCCCTCGGAGTGTACGCACGTCTAAAATGCTGGAAGCATGTATTCTGTCTATCACAAGATGGTCGATTTGGTTTCTCGTTTTTCGATCTGGAGACAGCCATGTAACTAGGTGGATGTTGTTATGCTGGAACCTAGTACTACATATTACCATGTTTCGGGCTCCGGCGAAGTCTATCAGCCTCAGTCCGTTATCGGAAGTTTCGTCGTAGAGGCTGAATTTTCCCACAGCGGAGCCAGAGATCCCTTCCTTGCCAACCTTGGCATTCAAATCGCCGACCACGATTTTGACATCGTGTCGGGGGCAGCGCTCATATGTACGCTAAAGGCGCTCTTAGAAGGCGCCTCGTCCTTCTCTTCCGGTAGGGCATGGGCGCAGACGTAGTCTCTCTCGAATCCAAAACCGAATTCGCGATCCTTTACGTGGCAACTGTAGTCCAGGGCTCCACACTTACTTTTCCTTATCGAGTGTATTGTGCGAGGTCTAATTGATTGCATTGTGCGAAAGACTGAAGCCCACCGTCAACGAACTGATTGGACCTTATCAGTGTGGCTTTAGGCCTGGAAAATCTACCATAGATCAAGTATTCACAAATCTTGGAAAATACCCGCGAGAATAGGATCGAAACACACCATTTATTTGTCGATTTTAAAGCCACTTTCGACAGCGTGAAGAGAAGTTGTCTGTATGCCGCGATGTCTGAACTTGGTATCCCCGCGAAACTAATACGGTGGAGTAATACCACCAACTCCGTCAGAATAGGGCCGTTTGATACCAAACGAGGTTTCAGACCTTTCATTTAATTTCTGTACTCCGATGTTGGAGAACCGAACCACTCAGGCACAATACTTTACAAGATCATACAATTGCTGGCGTATGCCGACGACATCGATATTAACGGTAAAAACAAGGGCTACGTCTGTTCTGCCTTCTCGGATAGAGAAGCAAAGCGAATGGGTCTAGTCGTGAACGAGGACAAAACCAAGTATCTCCTGTCATCACACAAACAGTCAGAGCATACGCGTCTTTGCAGCCACGTCACTGTTGACAGTTACAAGTTTGAAAAAGTAGATGGCTTCGTTTATTTGGGAACCAGCATTAACACCAATAATAATGTCAGCCTTGAAACCCAACGGAGGACCACTCTTGCCAACAAGTGCTACTACTTTGGGCTAAGTAGGCAATTGAGGAGTAAAGCCCTCTCTCGTCACACTCTATAAGTCACTCATCATGCCAGTGCTGGTGTATGGCGCGGAGGCATGGACAATGAAAACATCTGATGAAGCGTCTCTTGGAGTATTCGAGAGAAAGATTCTTCCAAAGATTTACGGACCTTTACGCGTTGGCGATGGCGAATATCGCAGACGATTTAACTATGAGCTGTATGAGCTGTAAACTTAGTGCAGCGAATTAAAATTCAGCAGCTCCGCTGACTTGGCCATGCCGTTCGAATGGACAGAAACGCTCCTGCTCTGAAAGTATTCAACGCGGGCCGCGATGCTGGTAACATAGTAAGAGGAAGGCCTCCTCGCCGTTGGAAAGACCAGGAGGAGAAGGACTGGGTTTCACTTGCATT